AAATCAAGTTGTTTAAGCTTGATCAAGCACAATACCTGAGCTGAAACTTTTATCTAATTTGCTAATTAGTCAATTGGTTTATTTAAGCTGAAACTTTGTGATTATCTTATTGATTTATTATAAAAAATAAAACTAAAAGACTGAGCTGATATTTCCAGGAAAAGAATCTTCTCACTTTATTGAATTGTTTTGACAGAATTTTTAATATACAAAAAGTCACTTGACAAAAGTCTATAAAGTGATTTAATTGAGGTCATCACATAAAACCTCAACCTCAACCTTTACAAAAATTATAAAAAAAAAAGGAAAGGTATTTAATCATTAGCACAACATCAACAACAGGTTCTTCCTCTACCTCTCACCCTTTCTCAGCCTCAAGTGTGAGGGCAACATCTAGCTCAACATCCATTGCCATGTTTTCATCATCCTCTTCCTCTTTTCTCTTAGATTGGATGGGAGATTATGTCCTTAAATTGCTCAAATTGATGTTTAAGAGGTTAAGTTTGAGGTCATCGTATTTAAAATTTACTTCATCTTTACAAAGTTTGAATGTACTGATAACATTCGTCCTTGAGAACTCCACCAGAAGCTAGGTGTATTTCTCTGAGGCCATGAACTCCTTCACCACTTTTTCCCTGCACTCCTCCTTGGCTTTGGCCTAGCCTCCTTATTTTCTTGTAGCTCGACCTCCAATTGAAACCTCAACTTGGCAATCTCAGCTTGAGTTTCATTAAGCTTAAGTTGAGATGTCTTGACCCATCATTACTTTTTGTTTGCCTTTGGTAATGGCAAAGGATAGAGCTAAGGAGGAGTTTGACTTTTTAGTAGGGGGATTTATTACTTTAGTTCCCCTTTGAGTTAGGGCTTTGAGCTGTATGGCTTACTTTTTTTGGCCTTTCTTAGGCTTAGAGATGAATTGAAAGAAGTTGAAATCCTTCGAAATCTGGGAAGACATATATACAAGATGAATTGATAGTTAGAAAATTTTAACAAAACTAAATACCCTACAAGTTTACCTTACACCTACCTTAGTACATAGACACATTCACTACTTCAAGGGAGGTTAGCTCTCTTGCATCTAAGACCAACTCTTTCATTTGAGTGAACTTTTATATTATTTCCTAATCTACGAGATTGGATTTAGAGAGAGCAACGGGTACATCATCAAAATTTTTAGGCTTGTTCAAAATCTCTCATACCTAAAACTCGTTATTCTTGTTTTTTTATTTATTTTTAGATGTAGAAGAAGAGTAGATTTTAGTTTTTTATTAAGCTTAAACAATCCGTAAACAATTTTTTTATGGAACAAGTTGTTACGTAGAATAATTTGTTAGCATGTAGATGCCTTGTAATAGAGAAAAACTCTTTGAACAAAGCTAAGGTAGGGATAATATCTAAACTTTTACAAAAAATAATAATTACTACTATGTATCAAAATGAATTAGGGGTGAGCTAAGTGACTGTTAAATTGTAAGAAAAAAATTTCAACAAATAAAACATGAAGAGGGAACTTCAAACTAGCCACTATTGAATCTTAGTACACACAAAGTTGGTGACTTTCAAAGTACTTATGATCTGATCCTCGATGCTCGACATTAATATACTATACTTTTCCTTTAGAAAATGAAAATTAATTCTCAAAGAATGAACGTAATAAGTAGAACACATATTAGGGCAATACTTAGGATTAGCCTTGCCTTTTAAGTTCTTTATCACATCTTTGAGGACTATTCCTTAAAAACAAGGGTTGTAGAAGGGGACCTAAGCTAGGCCCTCCAAATTCGATGAGGACTCCCCTCATCCTCTCTTTCTTCGACTTAGTTATTCTTTTATTTTTATTTTTTTTAGAATCCCTCTTGTCGTTAAAGCCTTTACTATCAGAAGGCTTAGACTTCTAAATAGGAGTATGATTCTAAGCTAGAGTAGTGACAGAGATCACCACAATGTCAGAAAAAGAAGATAAATAAGAAGACTCTTTATTAAAAAAGAAGTGAGTAAATACACTACCTGGAGTTGACTCAAAAAGAATGATTAAAGGTTGAGCAACAAAAGAAGAAATGGGAGGTTAAGAAGGTTGAACCCCAGAAAGAGCAATAGTAGAAGAAGGAAAGTTAGCTAGAGGAACTGAACTGACCTGAAAAATTAAAAATGGAATGGGAAGATTTTTGAACTCGAAGTCGATGATAGCACATAGCTCGTCCATGTCTTGGATGACCTAATTTTTCCAAGCATAAGAATTGTTTTCCACCCTCTTTTGCTCTTACTCTAACATCGAATTTAGCTAGAGGGCCATTCTGCTGTAATTCCTACTAGTAATGATCAGAGGGACCCTATTTTCATTTCTTTGGTTAAGTCGACCTCTCTTGGGTTCTACCTTGAAACTTTTTGAACCCCCAAAATTTGCTTTAGTAGAAATTGAGAGAGATAGAATATATAACAAGGTAAAAGAAAAAAGAACAGTTTGAAAAAAAAAAGACTTTTAGATAAAAAAAAACTTGAAAGTTTTTAAATTGGTAAAAACAAGTCAGATTGAGAACAAAAAAGTAGAAAAGTGAAAAATGGAGGCTCCAACAGGCCATTTATATAGCCAAGTTTAAAATCAAATGAATGACACAGATCATGCCACGTGTCAAATTGCTAATGAAGAGTGTCTTTTCATCTTTTTTGCTTTGAATTTTATTACCTACTCCACATTAAATGCCATTTTCAAATATTTGAGGGGCAAATTTATTATTTTACCCATTTGAACCGATTAGACCAATTGTAGCACCTAGGTCAAACTGATCAAATGGATCAACTCCCAGATTAATCTTGAGTCAAATCCAGGGATCAAATTTAAGAAAAAATACAAAGTTTCATGTTTAACAAGTGAACCTTGCCAATTCACTCAAACCCATTCGTCCTTACCTCGGGCCTTTCAATGTAAAGTCCATTTTGGTAACTTCAGAATAGATCGGTTACAAATATAACCTAAAACACACACTCAATATCAGGTTGGTATGTCAGGTCGGCACATTCCCAGGTAGCCAAGGTTGAACTAAACAATAAGCACATGCCTTTTTTACTTGTTTTTCATGTTAGCCTTGTAGACATTCAACCTCGTTAAGGGAAAAATCATATTTTGGGCAACTTTTAAAAGCCTGCATTTACAAAAATTGAGGTTAGTTTAGAAAATATACGTACCAAATGGGTCAATCAAGCACCCACTGGTTTGATACTCAGACTATTTCGTAGGGAAATAGAATATTAGAGGCATTTTAGGTCCAAAGGGCATTTTGATCTTTTTCTTCATTAGAGATAGTCAATAGATAATTAGGGGTATTTTGGACTTTTAGGTAGATATGATATATTTAGTGTCATGTTAACTCGGTCACATCATTATTGTGCCTCACAAATCCCTCACATTTTGCCTATAAATAGAGAAATATAGATAATATCATTTCATTCCCATTATACTAAAACTTTTTTGCTTTTTTTTCCTTCCAACCTTTCTTGTATTTACCTTTGATTTGAGCATTGGAGTGCAAGCACAAAGGACACCGCCTGCCTTTATCTTCAACTGCTCTCTTTTCTTTTTTATAATTTTAAGATTTGACCTTTTATTTGACCTTTTAGCTAAGAATTCGACACAAATATTTATTTTGAAACTAAATTTATTTATTGAACTTTATTGATTAGTAAATTTTGATTTTTAAAACAAATTAAAATGATGATTTTTTTAATAAAAATTTCACAAATTTAATTTAAAAAATATTTTCTAAGTTTTATTGGGTTAGACATAATCACTCCTAGGCAACGTGGGTTTCTTTTCAAGCATTTCCATGGCGGGTGAAAGCTGAAACAGTGCGAAACATACCTTGGGAAACTCTCACTGTTGTGTGATTATATGCAACATCATCTTCGGGAGATCTACTATTTGATTAAACGAGTTAGATAGGCTTGCTGCTTGCATTGCCAAGAAGAGTTCAAGTGAAGTTCTTGAACAAGCAATTTCCATGTTATGATCACATAAATCCTAGTTACCTCAAAGAGTCAAAGTCACACTCTAAAGTTCTTAATTTGTCCGGTAGTGTTAGAAGATCCTCATCACCTTCTGTTTTACCACAGGTTTTGTTTGTTGAATCAATTTTCTGTGTCCATGAGCTGCATTGCTATGAGCCAAATATCGTATTGAATTATAAACTTAGCTTGAATAATCATTTGTTCTTCGTTATACCAAAATAACAACAGCAATTTTAAATTAATTTTTAAATTTAAAATTTAATCAGATTAATTTATAAAATAATTTTTAAAAAATTATAATCAATAAATTTAAAATTTATAAATTTTTTTAATTTTCAAATTATGATTTTTTATATCAAATAAAAAAAATTAACTTAGAATTAAAAAGAATTAAAAAATGGTGCTACTATTTCTAATTGCGAGTATAATTTTGGCTAGCGAATTCTAATTCTATTTTATGGTAATCCAAACCTCTTTATTGATATGATATTTGGCAAAAAAACAAAAAGTGGATTTTATTTTCCAAATAAATAAATAAATGGATTTTCACAGTCCCTTTCATTTTTTTACTGCCAGACCAGTGCCAAGTATGCAACACGAGCGTCAGCGTTGTGTCCGCAAAATCACGCGAAATATTTTACACGGCCACCCTTGCCCTCATTTAATTTTAAGTATTAAAAAAATAAAAGTAGTTAAAATGCTTGACTCCACAATAAAAAAAATTATTTTAAAATTATCAACCCACCAACTGACGCTAAACCACGTGACGGCCATCATAGAAAATACCTCGCCAAGCGGTCCGAGACACGTGTCGACTTTCCCGATGTCTACATGGACGTGGACCAATTACGGCACGGAAACTGATCGGATCTCATCGCCCTACTCTCATCCACTAATTCTGATATCCAACCCCTTCTGCCACTGCTGTTGTTTTGATCTTCTCTCCACGTGTCGTCCTTGGACTTACCTTCTTTACGTTTTAACCTTTTAAAATTAATAAAACATTTTTTAATCCCATTCACAGAAAAAACAAAAAAATAATAAAAAAAATCGAGTGCTCTCTTTGTTCTCCAGAATCTCCCAGAAATCTCGTCTTTTGAGTTTAGGGTAAACAAGTTGGTTCAATAAACTGGTGAATAACTTTGTACTGTGGATTTCGGAGCCTTCGTTTTTTGATAAAGTTTTTCGTTTCCCGGAAAAAATTTGTTCTTTTTTTCTTTGGAGTATTTGATTTTCTGGGGAAAATTGTCCATTTCAGGTGAGACTTAGTTAGGTGATCGTTTCTGGTTTATTTTTTTCGTTGAAACTTATTTTTTTAGTTGATTTGTTTAGATTTGTCTTGGTTGTTGATATATTTTTTTTGTTTGGTTGCTGAGAAGATGCAGTAAATGAAACGGAATTTTAGTTTTTTGATTTTATTTTTAAGATTAAGAAAGAAACATCTTGATAACGGTCAAGCTAAATCTGGAACTAATTGTGCTTACAATATTATTTTTTGCTGTTATTAAATTTTGAAAATTTTTTTCCTGAATTCTTCTGCAGTTTGGTTGATGAGAAAAAATTGATAGGAAAATAAATTTATAAAAGAAAATAATCGTTGAATTTAAATACCAGATTACTATAATATTTACTGCAATAAAAGCTGCGGAGTAAATTTGGTGCTTTGATGTTGGAAAGCAATTTACTTTTTGTTTGACGTGTATTCAGAGTTTTAAGATTTTAAACTTGATTGTATTTCAAAATTTGACTTGGTTTAATTTCTCCTGAAGGATTGTTTTAATTTGTTGTAATTATTCTGTTTTCTGCGTCAGAAAGCTTAACCAGACATAAATTGTCTGCCATAAACATGAAAGAGGATCAAAAGATTGAATTTGTGTTTAGTGGTGGATAAGGATCTTGGAGGAATGTCTGACTTGTTTATGTATGAGGTAAGTTTCCTAGTTCACCTTTTAAGTTTATTCAGTTTACTTTCATTTTCTTGTAGGACAGTGCTGCAATCTAATTAAAGTTCCTGTGGGATGTAATAATTTCAGCTTATTGCTTCAATTTGAGATTTGGTTTTACTTTCAGTTATTCACTAGATTTCACATGCCAATAGAACTTGTAAGTTGTATAGCATGAAAAAGCGCGTCTTTTGTTATTTCTATTAGTGGAGGGAAACAAATTTGTTGAAGGTTTGAAGGTGTGATGGATTTGTTATGGAAAGAAAGAAACTTAGGTACTTTACTTTGAATCTTTTTGGTTCCTTTGTTTGTAGCTTTGCTGTTGCCTATTGGACTTTGTTGATGAATAAGGATTTTAGGGTTTAGTTTTCTCGTTGTCTTTTGGAGCAGGCTACGTTTAAGTCGTAGTTTGAGATTTTTTTTTTGTCAGTGATGGAGTGGGTATTTTCTGTGTTTGTACTAAATCTGGTTTTCAAGTTATATTATATAATATGTGTATATAGATTTATATTTATATATATGACTATGATATTGGAATGGCTGTTCAATTTTGCTCTTTTCATCAAGGATTGGACATTCTGATAAGCATCGATGAATTTTCCTCCAAAATATCGCTTTTATTTTTTATTTTAATGGATTGAACCCAAGCTTGTTAGCAGGATACTGATATCATTGCACCAAATAACAATTCCTTTGTACTGATGTCTTCTTCTTGGTGTATTGTTTTAAATAAGGTTTATTTATTTCAAGGACTTGATGGCATATGTTAATGTTACATTTGTTCAATAATGCGAGTTTTTGGTGCAATAAAGCCATTAACTAGTTCAATGGCAAAAATCTTGGGATTGAAGTGTGCAAGAGCATGGGCTCAAGCACAAGATGATCACTTTATCATACTTTTACTTTTTTTTTTCAAAAAATTAATAGAAAGAAAAAAGAAATAAATAAAAGATGAATCGAAAACCAAAGACAAATAGCAAATAGCAAAAAGCAAAAGCATCTATCAAATGAAGCCTTAGGAATAGGATTTATGCTGATGGGATCATAATTGATGGCTATTTTTTTGAAGTGTTGCTCTTCAGATTCGCCTTGAGTCTCCTTAGTGACCTTAATGTTTTTGGTTGGTTTACCATTTTAAGGAATGTGTTGTGCTAGCTAAGGGATGTAATTCATATCCTCCCTCTAAAATTATCTTAAACTTCATCTTCTTTATTTTCATTTCCTTTGATGAACAACTGATAATGACTAAACTTGTGTAATTGATGTTACAGCTTGAAGATAATGTTTGGGATGAATTTGGTGCTAGTGATGATCATATAGTGCCTCATGCTGTTGATGAATATGGGGCTCAATTCAAAGTTCAGGGTGATGGTCGGAAGAAACAACAACATGAAGTGATTGGAGTTACTGGTAATGCTGATAATACAAGTAAATATGGTATTTTGGGGGCGAAGGAAAAAGGCTTACATACTTTGACCAAGAACAGAATGTTAGAAAAGGGTCTGTGGTCTCACAGTCCTGATGGCGTGTTTCCCAGTTCAGGTGATAATGATTCACTCAAAGAAGTTACAAGCATGGCTTCTGATGATCCAAGGATGTCCAGCCATGGTCTCAAAACTGGCAATGTAGTTTCAGTTGGTGGTGAGTTCTGTGCTGATGATCCTGCCTTGGTTGACAAGTGTGCCACAGAGGACAATAATGTCTACCATTTTCCACTAAATCAAATATCCCAAACTGATGATGATCTCAGCTTTTTTAATAACAGTCATGAAGAAAAAGAAAACAGCGATCTTTTATATTATGGCTGGGGAGATATTGGGAATTTTGAGGATGTTGACAGGATGTTCAGGTTGCTCTTGAAATTCCATTATTAATTATATTTCATGTTACGCTTTACTATGTAAAATCTGACAGGTAGCTTCAGTAGGACCTCCCCATGTGAGTATAACTTAAGTATCTACATTCCAATATCCATAAGAATCAACATATATGTACCTGCACCATATATGTATGTACTTTACAATTACAACTAATAATTAATCTTTCTTATTGTTCTTGCAGAAGTTGTGATTCAACATTTGGGTTGGGGAGTCTCAGTAATGAAGATGATTTGTGCTGGTTTTCATCTTCACAAGCTAATGAAGGATCTCAAGATGCATTGAGCGCTGATGCTAAACTGAAGAGTGTACCAGAACATTGTGCAACTTCTAGGCCAGACGGTGCAGGTCCTTCAACTATTGATTCCAACAAGAATAGTGTATTTCTAAGTGACAAAGTAAGCTCCCTTAATATGAGTGGTAATAATTCTGGTCTTTCTCACATGTCATCTTTGAATGCATCCCACACAGAATCTGAAAGCAAAGATGATTTGACACCCAATGAGCTGGTTAGTAAAATCTTTCTTGTTTCAAAATGATTTCTCTCTATTGGTCTTTCTAATTTCACATTTTATGTAGAAAAATCTGGATATCTAGTTTTTGGCACCTATAACTTGTCATCCTCCAAAAACATTTGAGGCTCTTTTTCTTTCTGAATATGAATTCGATGCTACAATAAATTAAGATGACAAGTAGAAATCTAACTATTGTGGTATTTTGAAGGAAAATGCAGCCTACTACCATCATGAATTACATTGTCTTTATTGTGCTTGTTCATAATTGATATAAAGCTCCAATCTAGAGTCAGATAACAATTGATATTATCCACTCTTAAGCTATTTTCATACTGAGATTATTTGCTATAAGTTTTTCCCGATGTATCTTTGCCATGTGGAATCTTCATTATATTCTCCTATTGCTTTTCTGAATTGCAGATCAGCCCACAAATAAAGCAGTCAAGGCAACTAAGCGCATCAGGAGAAAGAAAAGATCAACATCTGGAAAATGGTGGTTCTTTTCGCCAATATGGTAACATCAAGCAGTTTTCAGACGTGAAGGACCCCTTCAGTGATTCATCCTGTCAACTCTTCTTCCCATCAGGCCTTCAGGGGCACAAACAAAACATTGGACCTGATTCTGTGAGTTACATACAGACAAATATTCCTTTTATGCATCTCAGCGACAGCAGTCCTTTAGATCAAATTTCAATGTGTTCAACTCTATCTAGTACCAAATCCAAAATTAACGGCCATCCTTCTTCAACAAATGAGTCATTTTATGAATCAAATCAGGTACAGTCTATAGAGAGCTATTGTGGTCCTTCATTTAAGGTTCCTGCCATTATAACGAATGAGAAGAGGGGAAAGCTACATCACCAACAAGATACACAAGTCCCACTAAATAGGAATGTCAAACATGCAAAAAGGGAAAGTCAGGTGGGATTTTGTGACTCAGTTACTGTGCAAAAGCAGGTCTGTCAGTCTGAACAGGATGAAGGCAAAAGTGAAGTTGGAGGAGTTAGTGTAGGAAAGCCAGTGGAATTAGATTCTTCAAATGCACAGGAGAGTTCTTATGTAAGTTCTGTGTCGGATGAAGTCTCACTAGAAGCAACTAGTTTTCGGCAGCTTCAACAAGTCATGGAAAAGGTATAATAGATGGAACAATTTTGTGATGTGCATGTGCACTTGTTCTTTTTGCTACTCATGAACAAGGTAATTGATCAAGTTTAAACTGCTTGAATTTTCAGTTGGATGTCAGGACAAAACTGTGCATACGGGATAGTTTGTATCGTTTGGCTAGGAGTGCTGAACAAAGGCATAATGGCACGAATACAAAAGGTGGCAAGAGAAATGATAAAGATGCAAGTGGTCCATTGGTGGCTGAAGAAACAAACAAGTATGTGTTTGTCGCTTGAACGTGAATTTCTTAGTACATTTTACTTTGTAACCATTACTCAAAATTTGACCACTGGATAGTGATATATATATATATATATTTGATATATATATATATATTTATATATATTGGATAATGGTGGTGTTGAATTCTGGATAGTTGAAACCTATGGTGGGTAGAAATGTTTTTGAGTGGTTCAATTTTTTGGCTTCCTAGAGACTAGGGACAACCCAATTACTTTGTGCTAAAATTGTTCTAATTATTAAAACAGAGGCATTCTTAATTTGAATTTTGAACTATAGAATCTAAAAGGGCATGGTAACGAATTGAAAAACCATGCAACTTAGAAACTTAATCCGTTAGGTTAGGATTTAATAATAGTTTGCAATCTTGAACATATTGATTGAGGCTCTCTTCTTCACCTACATTCCTCCCTTCTGCTACAACATTTGTGGAGAAAGAATTATAGAAGCAAACTTGGTAACAATCTGCGTGGCTGTTCTAAACTATGAACTTTGTGTTACATCTTGAGTGTTGTGTGTATTTTTCCTCCTTTCTTTTGTCTTCGTTCTTTATTAACACAATCTTCCAATCAATTCTTTTTCTAGTAATTCTAAGTATTGGTTTTTTCAGGTGCAATGGATTCATGGATATGGAAACTGACACAAACCCTATAGATAGATCCATAGCACACTTGCTATTTCACAGGCCGTCAGGTCCATCTCTAAGGCCTACCACCGACACTGCATCTTTTAACTCCCATGGCATGGTAAGTATTTGCTTTATCGCTTGTTGTTCTTTGTGTTGAACTTGAAGAAAATAAGTGTTTCGTGACTTCAAGCCTTATTATGTGGATTGGAATGGCAGGTTCATGGCTCTATCTCTAGTCCACCTGGGATGGCGGAAAAACAAATTGACCACGAAGAAACTGTGGCTGCTTCAGATAAAAAGTGCTGACAAGAAAGTGTCTGCAATAACTGGGAATTTGTTAAACATCAGTGCAGCCTTGTAAAATTTAATCTATTTATGACCATTTAAAATGATTGTCGTGAGGCCTTAAACATAAAATGCAGGTTGGTTCCGTGTTTTATACGTTGATTTGTTAGATACACGATGTTTTGTCTGTGTTGTTATAAATCCTTGTAATGGTTTGTGATAATCTACTTGTCCGCTTATCTGTCACTAACACTTCAAAAAATTTCTGTTTGCTTTCTCAAACTATTCAGCGTTCTTGTAACCAATTTCTGGAATTTCTCGTATATGATTATCATGAATATATATATATACACACGTATATATAATTATTATGGTTAAATGTCATTAGATTTTTTAGGGTGTATTTAAATCCGATTTTAACATTATCATTGTTGATGGCTATGTTACTTACTGGTAAAATTTTGAATTTTTAATTCAATGATCATGATTTAAATTTAGATATATTTAAGTAAAAATTTTTTTCCAAAATTTGGTCATAATTATGGCAGCATGAGGCACATTATAAGTACGTGGTAATTTAGAATATTTTATGAATATAGTATAAAAATATAATATAAAAATAATGAGTTAAAATTTTAATAATAATTATATAAAAGTTTAATAAAATTAAAAAAATATATTTTATATTTTTTATTTATATAAATTATAATACGTAATTTGTATTTAAAATATAAAATAAATATATAAATTTAAATATTTTATTTGATATAAATATATAAATTTAAATATTTTATATAATACAAATATTTTAATCATGAGATATGTTTAATATCGTGACCGTCACTGAAACAGTGAGGGAAGTCTTGAATGACCAACAAGCAGCTGGCTTTCGGGGTGCTGTCTGGGAAGCATAAAACAACAAACTTATGGCCCAACCTCCCATACATGTATAAATCAAAACTTCGATGAAATGTTGTCGGTCACTTTTTTGTGGTGGCTAAAGCACGAAATTTTGAGAAGAAAAAGTCGAGAGAAAAGTATTTTGCAAGTTGATGCACCTATTCTCATCAAGCCTTTATTGGACAAAGATATGATGTGGAAATGGTCTATCATCATTATTGCATTGGGTCTTTGAACTTCCTGATGTTATTCTCCAACGGCGTTGGAATGATCATAAAAATTTGGTGTCTTAGGCTTCAAATAGTGTTTTGAGATTGTAAGGCCATACGATATCAGTAGTTCCAGCCCATATTAGCTCTGCAAATTGCTGGTAAGCCTTTTCCGAGGGATGATAGGAGTCAAAGAAGAAATATTCACCAGGATTCTCACATAAATGAAACTCTGTTATCCCTCTCTTCCCTCCACAGCTGTAAACTCCTCCCAACAGACCGGAGCCGCAACATGCCCTCGTCGCATCCTTGAAACCTTCACAGCATAACCCACAAAAATATTTTCATCTAAAATAGACCCTGCTTATTCAACGCCGGCAACACTTACGGAATTAGAACAAGCAATTTATGTATTTGTGTATGGTTCTTTTTTTTGTTAAACGGGCATAAAATACAAAATTTATGAATCAGAAACGTCAAACACGAAATATATATTTTTGTTTTTATCAAATCGTTAAAAATTTAAATCATGTCATTTTCAACTTTTTTTTTATATTGTTTTATCAAAGTTTCATGTTTAATATGATCATATGCTTAAATGGAATATGGGAAGATGTCCTAATATTACCATATTTTGAAGGGTTGTTCAACCTTTCATTAACAGATTTGTAGAAATTGAAATAGGCATATTTGAACCCTTCAAGCTGGTTGTCTAGCTGATTGAGGGTTTTGGGAAGTTCTCCATTGTGCAGTTTCGCTATTGCTGTGACTTCATCAATGCAAGAACCCCCTGCTTTTGCTTTCAGGTATGGTAAACAACCCAGCGGCATCATATTTGGAAACCCAAACTTCCTCCCTCCTTTCTTGTATACTTCCTGAATCAATTTAAAAGTAGATTTTAAGCAACTGCAAATCAAAAGAAAAGTGAATGGTGGAAAGAGAAATTTACTTTGAGAGCAACAGTCAGGTTGCCAAGCACCATGAAAGCAAACTCTTCATCTGACGCACTTGAGTTTCGGGTCAAGTAATCATTGCCTCCTATACTGATCAAGTAAACAGCTCTGGACAACAATTTCTTGGCCTCAGCATCTCCTAGTTCTTGTCTCAATGATTTCTCAACTTTCTTGAAGTATTTTATTTGTGTTTCTAAGTCTACAACCTGTCATTGAACCAAAAGAAAGAAGTTCATAATGTAACTTTCACTAAAAATGACAGTACAAAATAAAACTAGAGCACATACAAATCCTTGATGAGATTCAACTAGAGCTCCGGCTCCTCCAGATGCAAAGTTCACCCCATCTGTGAACTTATGATTGCCAGGCTGTAAATATGTTGGAATTATCGGTAACCCAGCAAACTGAGCTGTAACAAAATTGTAAGAGTCAGAGTCAATGAATTTGTGTTGGAAACTTGAAATATTCGAAGTGCTTTTACCAATAAAATCTGGAATCAGACGCCCATCAGAAAATCTGCCAGTAGGGTACTTGAAGAAGGTCTCACCATAAGGCCAGAAATTTGCCTGAAAATCAAAAGTGGTGTTGATATAGTTGTTGTTTCCAGGATCAAAAAGTGAATCACCAAAGATGAACAAAGCAACATGGGTTTCAGGCAGATTATGGCAGCTAATCAGGTTGAGAAAGGTTGTAAAAGACAGCAAGAAACAAAAATGGGCCCTTACGTTTGCCATCATGTGAAAAATAAAACTGGTTTGCTTTAATTTATGCTCTTCCCTCTTGACCAAACACATGCTTTTTATAGGATTCTTTTCTTTCAATTCAATATGAAAAGTGACAAAAAGGAAACAGCAAAATCTGCCTTTGGTTTGGAGGCGGCTTTAAAATGTGGGTTCACCATATCCGAATTAAAGATAAAACTGGTTAGGTGCTATCGTTTAAGACGTCGATATTCAAAGATATCTACAATCTCTCTCATTTCCTTTTCATTTTTAAAATTTTGAGATATATACTTTTTATGATACAAAGGAGATTACATTTTAAAAATAAAAAAAAAATTTAAATAATAAAATTTAAATCTTAAATTCACTAAATGTTACCATGTATTATATAAATCAACAAAATTAAAACATCAAATTCGTATTATTCGAATTATATAAAAACTAATAAAGCCTATGAACTGTCCGAATGATTGTTACCTTCAATGGAAGATAACTTATTTTAAGGTTATCTATTTTTTTTTTAAAGTAAATAGTAAATTGTAGGGAAACAAAAAACAAATGGATGAGTGATGACTCACAAGTCACAATTTTACTATACTGATTATGTAATTTTTTATTTTAGTGCTCAAAAAGGAAAATAATTTTTGATCCTACACTTTTGTTTTTGTTATTTTTCCCTTTTCACGTGGCAAAAATTTAATGATTTACTTTTAATTTTTGAAAATTGTATTATTTATAAATAAAATGACTTGAAAGTAAATAAGTTCATTTCACTAAGGCATGTCAATGGATAGAATATAAGATAGGAAAATATTTTTAATTCTCATTTTTTATTTTTTATATTATATTTATTTCTATACTTATATTTATGGATATTTTAAATTTATTTTTATTCTTGTTTTTGTGAGTATTTAATAAGTATGGGCAATCTCAGTACCTGTTGCTTTAAAAAAATAAATTTTTTTAATTTTATCTTATACATTTAAATATTTTTTATAAATAAATATTTTTTAAATACAAATATATTAGTTCTAATAAATTTAAAATAAATTTTATATTATTAAATAAAAAGTTAATTTAATAATATATAAAAATATATAAAATACGGGTATGAAATATATTTTATATTATTCATTTTTGTACCCATGCTTAATAAAAAATTTAAAATCATATTCATCATTATTTCTATATTTAAATTTAATACCCATATGTATTCTTATTAAGATAAAAAAATCAAATTTTTTATCAAATTTGAATAAGATTAGCATGCTTAATTTCAACTTTAAATTATCTAATAAAATTTTGTAATAGGATAAACAAAAGTGTAGCATCAAATAGTATTACTCAATAAATATGTTTGTGACTAATGAAGATAAGCAAATTATTTGATATTTAAATTTTTTTAAAAATAAGTAATTTAATTCATTTGGTTCATATATTCACTTTTAAAAAATAATTATTTAAATAAATAATATTAAAAAAATTGATTTAAAATCATAATGTATGATTTAATTTGGATCAATTTTTTTATTCTATTTAAATTAAGTTTAGTTTTAAATGTATATATTAAGTTTGGATAAAATTTAAGATTAATAATAAAAATTAAATAAAATAAAGTCATTCAAATTATATATTTTTATTAATTTATATATATTTAATTTTTTTATAAAATAAAAATAATTATTTTATATCTAAATTTATTTAAATATATTAAAAATTATATTAAAATAATATATTAAAAATTAAAGAATTAAATTTAAAAAATCCATGAGCCAAACTTAATAGTAAAATTCAGTTTGAAATAGATCCATTTAAAAAAAATAGATTCAAATTTTCATCGAATTTAAAAACTTATAATAGTATTTAAAAAAATTAAATTAAATCCCGTTATTAGTTATTAATAAGGAGGTGCATGCAATAATAGAGTTAAACTTCATAAATCCCAACAGAGAAACAATCCCAGTTGGCAATTTCCAATTACAAATATGAAATTAAACAAAGCCTAGAATTTAAAGAGGAGCAGCATCATAACCCAAGAAAGGCCTTCCACAAGAAGAAAGTTTAGGATTCCAGGGATAATAATCCTCATGCAATGTATCCTAAAGCTTGCGAAACCCATTCTTGGAAACCCCAAATCCAAACAAAAATTCAATGAACACCACCACCACAGCACAAAAAGAGAAAATTTTCTGCTTTTTGGGGGGATTTTTTATCTGGGTATTTTTGGTTTTAGTGTCTTTTTGGATCCGAGAGAAAAAAGAGAGTGAATTTTTGGATGGATGCTGCTCAGCTGGTGAGGTTGAGACGGTGGTTCGGTTGGGCCTTTTTTTTTCTTATAGAGTTGGCCTTTGTGGCCTATTAGAGAAAACATTTTCAGGGTCAATCAAAGTCCGCGTTCAATAGGCTTGCTAATACATCAATAATCAGTCAATAAATTAGATTAAAGTTATCCCCAAATCTTTGTTAGTCAGCCATTTGTGAAAATTGAAGCATAATTTCATGAAAAGTGTCTTTGAATTGCAATTGGGTTGGATAATTTACAGCATTTATTAATGGTTTGAGGTTTGTTGGAACATTTATTTAATTTTTTAAAGGGGATAATTGTAATTATAAGTTACAATGATATTTCATGTTTTGGAAAAAGGAAAACGGAGAAGAGAAAAGCGGCGAAAACGAGAGAAAATGAGAGGGGCAGAAACCTAATAAAAGTAAATAAAATAATAAAAATTTAGCCTCTAATTGATGAACTAAAAAATTAAGTATTAAAATTTTACTATTGAATTTGAATTATAAAAATTATTAGATATTTTCTGAAAGTTAAATGTTGAATATAAATATAATGTTTGATAATTGTAAAATATTGAATTTTAAAAATTTATCATTTTATATTTTTATCTTTAATTTTTCAAATAATGAAATATTGTCTTTAAGAAATAATAATTTAAAAAAATTTAAGAGAAAAATTTATTAAATATTTCATGTTTTAAGTGATAAATAGGTCGTTACCTACTTATGTTATTCAATATTTTTTGATTGAAAAATTTTTATTAAATGAATTTTAAAATGCATTATCAAGTGTATTGAAAAAAAAATTAAATTATTGTAAATTTTTATTTTCAATACCTAATCAAATAAGACTTTTTATTTTTAAAAATTATATAATTTATACTGCGAGCAATCAACTGTAGTAAATAAAGCCAAGCCATTAAGATCGAAGATTTTAAATTCTCAAAATAATTATGCAAATGCAATGAAATTTGTCAATGTGGGCAGCACCAAATGGTTTCTTGATGCATGTTGATGTGTTACAGGTCGAGACTTAAGCTTCGAACTCGTCCGACTCTAAGACCCGGGCATCCACTCATTCGACATCTCAGATTAATCTTCTTATCACGATTCACACCTCTTGTGAGGTATTATTCTCTCTGGTTCCCCTTACCTTATAGTTTTATCATATAAAAGGCGCCTCACAAGGAAGAGGTGATGTGAACTTTTTTATATCTTATTGATCCTCTTATTATGTTCGATGTGAGATTCAAGAATCTTATTTAGGTCTGTGATATTCTCTTTCATCCAACCTCGTGACGCCTTCGTCACGGAGGTTAGCCATTCTACCTACCTCTCTCGAGGCGTTTGACGTGGGTTGAACGGTTTAGAGGTAGCTCTGATACTACTTGTCATGGGTCGAGACTTAAGCTCTGAACCCGTGCGACTCTAAGACCCGGGCATTCACTCATCGAACGTTTCAAATCAGTCTACCTGTCACGGTTCACACCCTTATGAGGTATTATCCACTCTGACATCTTGACTTCACGATTTTATCTTACAAAAGACGTCTCACAAGAAAGAAATGGTGTGAACCCTTTTATATCCCAATAACCTTCTTATTATATTTGATATGAGATTCAAGACTTTTTTTTAGATCCGTGATAGGTGCACTACAATAAATTATTGTTGCAACACCATTGAAATGTATGAAAGGTTTTCTTTTATTTAATATCTGAAATAATTTTCAAAGAAAGTACGTTGTTGTTATAAAGTCAATTTAACTCTTATGGCGGACTCTGATAATTATAGTATTTTTTGCTTCCTCATGCGTCAAGGATTGTTAGCAATGGCTGTTTGGTAATGAATTTTTAAAATCACGAAAAAAGATTACAATTTTTTATTCCCCACTTGCAGTCTGTAAGCAATAATGTAAATTGTCCTGTTCCATGACCACATTCATATTCATACAGTGACCTTTTTTTTTAAAAATTTTTGCTTTGGGTTATCAAATTTGACCAAGAAAAAACAAATAGATCAAGGAAATATTTTGTCTTTCAGTGTGTTTTAAAATAAATGAATCCCAATTCATTAACTCGGATGTATTTTTATTCCAAAGATTTAAATATAGCAATAATTTAGTGAAATTCATACAAAAAAAAAAAGTTTATGCTTTTAAACAATTTGTCTCATAGAAAAAAAATACAAAAAAAATTACTTTCAACTTTGCATAAAATTTAAAAAAATAAAAAAAAACCCGTGCCTGACGGCTGAGCTTCTGATCTTCTTTCACTCTGTAAATTCTAGGAGCCTCCTAACTAGCTCTTGATTTTTCTTTTTCTTTTACGCATTAATTTTCTAAATATCTTGCCGGTCAAGATAACTTTAATTTTTTTATACCGTAGTTTGCGGATAAAAGATATTAAAATTCAAAATGTAAATTTATTATATATAAATTTTTTAAAATAATTATATAAATTAATTAAACTATTCTTTGAATTTAAATAACCTTAATTTCTATAGTCATCTTGGGTCACAGTACCCACCAATTTCATTGCCTTGGTTATAAATCTCTCATTTCTTGATTATAAATCTCAAAGGTTGGATAAATAAGAGTTTTATTTAATTTCTTGATAAAATTATTTTAAAAAAATAATATTTTAATATTTATGAAATTTAAATTTTGTATTCTTAAATTATAATATTTTGTGTAAAAAAATGAGTATTAATTCTTGTTAAGGGAATTCTAAATATACCACCGATTCTTCTCTCTACACCCCAATATTTTTTTTCTAAAAATATTCATATAAAAAATATTAGTTTTATCTTTTATTAAATTACAATTTTATTTTTTTTCACATTCCATTTATAAGACTTTTAGAAATAAATTTTTGAAAGTTTTAGAAAGCTCTTGAAAATCCATTTTCAAGAGCTTTGCCTTCAAAACTCTCGAAATTAGATTTCTCATAAGCTTTTAAAGTTTTTAGAAATAAATTTTTTAGAGTTTTTTAAAACTCTTAAAATTTATTTTCAAGAAGTATGATTTAGACAAAAAAAATTTTATACTCCATCATATTTTATTTAATGTTTAAAGTTCTTAAAAATAAAATTTGAGAACTTTAAAATTTTTTTAAAACTTAATTTTTAAAAAGCTCTCCAAATTCTTAAAAATAAATTTTCGAGAACTTGAAAATGAATTTTAAAAACCTTCAAAATTTTTTGAAAATTTATTTATAAAAAGCACGATTTCACCCAAAAAAAAAATTGAGGTTTAAGGTTTAAAATCAAGAAAAAATTAAAAGAGTAAAAAAAATATAATTTTTGTTACATGAGATGCATTTAAAAAAAAATAAAGATTTTTATTTTGAAAATAAAATGTATTTAGTAATAAAACATAAAGACAAAATTTTAAAACTCCCCCTCTTGTCAAAATGGATTGATTGTTACTTTGTTTTCATTATTTTTCTAGAATGTGATCACGAAAGACAATTCCAAATCAGGTCTGCGGTCTGCTTTCTGTGCAATTACTCCAGCCCAAGTATCACTATTTTATTCTAAACCACATGACTTTCAAAAGCTAAAGTTTATTGACTTTGAACATTTAAAGGAGTCTTAAAAATCACATTAATCCACCCAGGAAGATTTTGGATTTTATTTTTTTAATTTTTTCTTTGACTTTTTTATTTTTTCTCGGGTCCATACTGTTTTATTTTTTAACAAATAATGTAATTGAAGTGTAAAAAAATTATAATTTAAAACACCGACTGAATTATTGATATATGATTTTTTTGGTTACAGAATAAAGTTTAAAGGATAAGTACGTGAGCTGCTTGACCAACTCTGATGACTCACCCATACGATTTTACTTGTCGACTTGGCTTACCAAATAAAAATGTTCGGTACTTTTGGCATTACATATTTTATATTGGGTAAAGTTTTTAGCAGTTATTAGTAGAATTTTACTAGTGTTAAATCGTTATGAAGCTTGGGCAATTGTTTTTTTTTTTTTTTATATATATATATTCTATGTATACGTGATCCTTTGTACTATGTGATAATGTTCATGCAACTTTTAATTTCATGAATTTCTTTTATTATGTTATATATCCTTTGGTCAAAGATATATAATTAGTTTTTATTTTTTTCTCATCCTACAAGTAAATCTGTTCATGAGTAGAGTTGTTTGCCAAGATTAGATTTTAGACAAAAATTTTGGTCAATAATTTACTTTTATTCAGAAGATCTCAAATTTAGCGAATTATGAAATTTAATTTCGTTTTACAAAATTTATATATATAATATGAAATATATATCTCCTCTTTATAACAAACTTACTTTAAAAAAAAGGTTGAGAAAAACATATGAAAGGTCTCCACCAGGATGCAGGTTTAGAATGAGGAGGAAGGAGAGTTGCATTGGTAAAATTAAATTGATTTTCAATTTTCATACTTCAAAAAATTGTTTGAAATTGTGAGGCCATATAACATCGGAACCTCCACTCCACATTTCCTTTGCAAATTGTTGATAGGCCTTTTCTGAGGGATGAATGGAATCAAAGAAGAAATTTTCATCAGGATTCTTACACAATTCATACTCTTTTACCCCTCTCTTCCCTCCGCAGCTATCAATTCCTCGGTACAAACCAGAGCCGCAACATGCCGTCGTTGCATCCTTGAACCCTTTCACACCATATCATCATCCATACACAAAAATTGAAAAAAAAATTTCAGTTATTTATTAGTATCTGAAATACAAATTAAAAGATTTGATGCCAAAGTGGAAGGTTGGAAAGATCACATACCATATTTTGGAGGGTTGTTTAATCTTTCACCTGCAGTTTTATAGAAATTGTAATTTGAATATTTGAAGCCTGATAGCTGTTTCTCTATTTTCTGCAGGGCTTTGGGAAGTTCTCTGTCGTGCAGCTGGGCTAGCTTATTAACTTCATCATTACAAGAACCATTGCTTCCTATTTGTACTTTGAGGAGTGGTGTACAACCCAGAGGAGCAATATTTAGAAACCCAAACTTCCTTCCACCTTTCTTGTATACTTCCTATATCATTTTAATAGCTTAGTAATGGACAATACTGCATACACGTAAGAAACATACACATATGTACACATAAGGTGACTTTTTTTATTTTTACATAAAAGTTGAGAAGAAATTGTAAGTGTTGGATTCGAATTCTGTTAAAAGCCACATACTAAGGGCTCATGAACCAATTGAATTAAGCTCAGTTACAACTTTTTATTACGTTAAAGATTTATATCATATGTTTCTTTATGCATATAATCATTTTCATTAGTAATTGAGCAACTGTCAAAAAAGAGAAAAAAGTATGGTTAGAATTAGATTTTGTGTGTTTTAAGCATATTTACTTTGAGTTGAATAGTCAGGTTGCCAATCACCATGGCAACATACTCTACATCGGACGCGGTCCAGTTTCGGGTCAAGTAGTCGTTGCTTCCTATGCTAATCAAGTAAACAGCTCTGGACAGTAGTTTCTTGGCTTCTTCATCTCCTAGTTCTTGCCTCAGAGATTTCTCTACTTTCTTGAAATAGCTTACCTGAGTTTTCAGGTCTATAACCTGGAAGTCATAAAAAAGAGTAGGGAAAAAAAGAGACGTATTACAAACAGAAACAATCATAAGTATAACAAGTAATAGCAAAATAAGACCAATATGATGAGAAAACGGAACATACAAATCCTTGATTAGTTTCAACTAGAGCACCAGCTCCTCCTGATGCAAAGTTCACTCCATCAATGAATTTATGATTACCAGGTTGTAAATACGCTGGAATTAATGGCAACCCTGCAAACTCAGCTGAAACAAAATTATGAGTCAGTGGAGTTGAAATTGAGGTTGATGAAGGAAATAAAAACAGTCCGGGAGTTTTAGTTTTTTACCCAGAAAATCCGAAATCAGACGCCCATCAGAAAATCTGCCAGTGGGGTACCTGAAGAAGGTCTCACCATAGGGCCAGAAATTTGCCTGATAACGAAAAGTGGTGTTGATATAATTGTTGTTCCCAGGATCTAATACTGAATCCCCAAAAATGAATAAAGCGACATGGTTTTTGGGCAGACTATGGCAGCTTATCAGGCTGACAAAGGTTGCGTAGGCCAGCAAGGAACATATATGAACTCTTAAACTTGCCATGGGGAAATATTTATCTTATGTTTGATCTTCCCTTTCAATGTAACTGCTTTTTATAAGTTTTTTTTTTGGTTGACTTTAGTAAATGAACAGAAAAAACATCTGTTTGAAATATGTCTTTTTTTTTTTTTTTTAAGTTGCTTGTGGGTTTCGTTCCACCCCATACAAATCTACTTCTAGAAGAGAAGAGTATATCGTCAATCATTTATATATACAATTTTGTGAACTTTGAAAGTGTTAAAAGATATTAATTAAAATATTTGTAATAAATTTTAAAATTTAAAAGTCTTGAAAATGATGGACTAATATATTTTTAGTAAAAATATTTATAAAATTTAATTTAAATAAAATTTTTTATCATTAAACTTCTATTGAGATGCAAAATATGATTTTTATATGAAATTTAAATATTAAAAATAAATAAAACTGTCCAAAGCATATATAAGGATATAAAGTGATTGAATGTGTGAATAAGTGTCTTTATTTTTTTGATAAATTCCATTATTATGTTTTAGAGGCCATTGAATATGTGCATGTGAAAAAAATTAGTATATATATGTGTGTACATAGCAATAGTAAATGTAAGATTCAAAGTATCATTTTTTTTTATTAATTACATTGTAATATGCTAATGGAGTATTAGCATGTACTTTGGTCAAACTTTTGGATGTTACGAGTTGAGAAAACTTAGACGTATAATGTCCTCTTCAAGTGAATTAAGTTGATATAAGTTAGAGGGTTATGAGTAGTTTAGGAGTTTAAAAAAATTACTTAGTAATATTGAAATGAGTGTTTTATATGAAAGTATATAGCATTTTTCATAGTATATATACACTTTATAGTTTGTATATATAGACACAAATTTCCAAGTTTGAAAGTTCATTTCAAGACCCAAAATTTCCAATAAAACATTAAACAATTATATTTTCACATGAAGAACTTTAAGTTTCCCGATTTCACTTAAGACTTGGATAGTTGAATAATGTAATAATTTAGTACTATAATACTTTAGTATGAGCATTAATGTAGTTTCCTTTTGGTTTCATGGAAGTCTTCTTCTCCCCGCTGTGGAGCCAACATGTCCTTCAGAAATGACAAGTTTTTCTTGACTGCCGTTTTGGCCACGATCCGTTTAACCCAACAGCAGAAAACAAAATAACAAAAAGGATGATGTTTCCTCGCTTGTGGATGTGGGCGTGATTTTCTTGCAAAGACCCGTCCATTTTCAGTGAAGAGTGGTTCATGGATTTAAGTCATTTTTCTTACAACTGGTATACAAACTTTGAAAAGTATTCTTCTAGAGCATTTTAAGTCATAAGACCACTTTCAATGGGAATGTGGAGGAGGGTGTGGTCAAGGACGGATCCAGGATTTATACTCAGTGAGGGTAAGAATACATACATATGGTACTAAATATATAAGTTAACTAAGATGCATAAAAAACTATTTTAATATATATAAAAATAACATATTACTATTGTTCTCTACTACATTTCATATTTTGAAAGCATTGTAAAGTCTTTTCATTATCAATATTACAAAATATATCTTTCTTTATATATGTAACCAAACAATCATTCATCCAAAAATCTCTCATTCGATTACGCGAACGTTTTTTCATAATCTTCATAACAGAAAAAGCTTTTTCAACTGATGTAGTAGAAATTGATAATAACAAAGCTAATTCCACAAGTATACCAATAGATACACAAAATATTTCTTTGTCTCAATAAGTTTCATGAAAAGGTTACTAATACTTTTCAAACTTGTAAACTTATCATGAGATCTTAAATCAACAATGTAAGTTTTAAGTTGATTGTCAAGAACTAGTAGCTCAACATCAAAAATTCAGTTGGATAAAATTGAGCAAGACGAATCAACTTTCCTTATCAAAAGTTGTAAAAGAATCACAAGGATTTAAATAAGCTACACAAAGAAATAACTTCATATTTATTTCATTAAAATGATATATTGTTGAGCTCTTGAAGTTGCATATCAATTACCATATAAAACAACTTAACCTGATAATAATGTAAATTTATCATTGTTAGAGCATTGCGTCAAGGTCTTCCACGAGTTACAAACATATCATCCATATTTGGGATGCCAATATTGTTTTTCTCACAAAATAAAGAAACCTTTTTATGCAAAGATTCCCATCCATTATCTCTCATTATTTGTAGTTGTTGCTTCGCTATTTTTACCAATGCCATCGCATTCACAATATCTTGATCTCGCCTTTGTAATGTCCAAGGACAATTCATTTGTAATCCCTAAGATATTTTTCATCAAATGCAAGTTAAAAGCAAAGTTAAAAGCAAAGTTGAATCTAATAAAGTAGAAGCTTCACTTCTTTGCTTCGAGCTAATTCCACCATCCACAATAATTTTAAGTACATCAATGATGGAATTAAACATAAAGATCAAATTTATCAAAATCCCATAATGTAAACCTCTTCGTGTATCCCCAGCTTATTGAAAACTTATTTCTTGGTTTAAACCCTTTTTCGTAGAAAGTTCACATACTCATATTGCCTCAGCAACTTTATCAAGTTGTTTTTCTCAAAGAACATCTCTTTGTTTACATGCAGCCTTGACAATATTCATCACATTTGTCACAATGTTGAAAAGTAATGCAATTTGAACATGATTCTTTACGACGGCTACAAGTGTCAATTGAAGTTGATGAGCACAACAATGAACATAGTAAGTAGATGCATTATCTTTCATGTTCAAAGTTTTTAATCCATTGAATTCACCTTGTATGGTGCTTGTTCTATCATAACTTTGCCCATGAATCCTTGACATACTGAAATTATGCTTAGAAAATAATGCTTCAATAGCTGCTTTAAGTGACAAAGTAGTTGTATCACTGACATGTATTATACCCAAAAAAACGTTTAATAACATGCCCTTTAGAATCTATATAGCGCAAAGCAATAGCAACTTATTCTTTGATTAAACACCATGAGATTCATCAAGTAAAATGAAAAATAATCCATCTCCAAGATCTTTCATGATAGTATTGATAGTCTTAATTGCTATAGCACGAACAAGATCTTTTTGAATATCATATGCTATTATTTTTAATTTCCTGATGCATTCTCCAAGACAACACTATTGATGGTTTTATTATAATTGACAAGAAATCTAAAAAGCTTAAGAAAATTTTCTTGATTATGAGAATTCTCAGTTTCATCTCTAGCACGAAATGTCAAACCTTGATATAAAAAAAAGCGAATACAATCAAGTGTCACAGTTAAGCGAACTCGATAATTTTTTCATGCTTGATCATATTGTTTTGCAAAAGCAAATTGAATATATTGCTTTTGATTTGGCAAATCTTGACAACATTTTCAAGCTTTGTTATGAGTACTATTAGGACCTCCAACATGAATATCAAATCTTTTTTCTTTTTTCAATTTGTGAATCCATTTGAAACAAAAAAAAAAATCACTACCTGCTTGCTCTCCAATATCTGTTCTATAAAGATAACAACATAAATAAAAAGCAGCATCCTTTTCTATACTATATTTCAACCAATTAGCATAGTCTTTGAACCATGTAAAATAAAATGACGTAATGCCTTTCCAATTTTTCTTTGGGGAAAATTATGTTCATAAGGTTGACATGAAACTTTTACAAATAAGCTCTTCGAACTTTGTTTCTATAATTAGTATTATAGTTCAATTTTTTCGCAACCCAAGAATCGAAAGAAGGTAGTCTAAATTTAATTCAACACGAACTTGCTTTGTACAATGTTGTATGCCATTAGAATTGATTCAAGATGATTCTTAAAAATTTGACTTCCTCTTAATAATATGTTTCTTCATAACTAATTAAATTAAATATTTTAATTTATGTAATTTATAAAAAATAAGAATACATATTCAAAATACAATTATGCATGTTAATGAAGATCAATTGACTATATATTTGAAATATATGAGTAAAAATGCAATTCACATACTGTAACTGTACTGCTATATAAAAAATTGGATAGAATTTCTAACTAATTTTATAATCTCCATATAAAAAATTAATTTTTACCAAACTTAAATTATTAGTTGAATGAGTAATAACTAAAAAAATAAAGAAAAATATAGAACATAAAAAATTCAAACATGATAAAAAATATAAATGCTATCAATAACATGAATACATGATCAAATTATTTCATCAATATAACAAATTTCAAATAATAAATAGACACTATATATAAAAATATATAAAAAAATTGATTGACTAATTGTAAAATTATATAAAAAAAATAACTTGAACATCTTGTTAGAGTAAGAAGATAACCAACTTGTAATTTGTTTCTTCAGTTTAAAGAACTTTTTTTTTTTCTCTTTTTACTTCTTTAATTTTCTTCCCTGGTTCTCTCTGTTTTTGTTTAAAAACTTGAAAGTAGCAAAAATAGGGAAGATGGACGAAAATGAAAGACTGATTACTTTTATTTACAATCAATTCTATTTTTTTATAATGACCTTAAAATATTTTTTTATTTACAAATCTATCACTTCCAATTAATTTAAGTTTCACTTTTTCATATTATATATATATATATATATATATATATATATATTGAGTGGGGACATTATAAAAAAATTAAACTTTTTAAATATTTTTATAATGTATTTTTGAAGGGATATAGATCTCAGTGTGGGCAATTGCCCCAATGACCCCATTATGCATCCGTTCCTGGGTGTGGTGTAGTTTAATTAACGTAATTATTTTTAAGAAATAATATTTAATTTTAAAAATAATATTTAATAAATTTAAGATTTAATTTTTGACAATTATAATTTTTTTTATATATTAAGTATCAAACTTTACGTATAAAAAAAAGTTCTTGTTCATATAAAATAGGATCTGCAATATCTGAACTTGGAAGTGCATGTAGAAGCCTGGGTTTTAAACTTTAAACCTGATCGTTATGTTCAATTAATTAATTTTCCATAAAAAAATGTTTAGGGTAACTGACAATTATTGAGCAAATTTTTAGCTAATCATACAACCCGGATCCTAATAAGGTATTTATTACAGTATTTTATTTTGTTTTGGGACTAGGAATATAACCTTTCAATCCAAAGTCCTCCTAATGCCTAACAAAAAGAAAAAGATGGAAATTTACTTCGATCAATTTACTCTCTGAATTCAAATTCATTCAACTTAAATTTCTTGATTTCCTCGTATATCTTTTATACTACTTCTGGTACAGTTCACAATTTTCAAAATTTTTTTCTTGTGATTTGGGAGATTTTTGGATCTTATACCGTACATCTTTTCTAAGTGCTGATCCGATAAGCTTTTATGCCGAGTCCTAATGAATTAATAAAATGTTATTTTCACACATTTTCAATCAGATTTGAACCCTAAAAAAAAAAGATAAAGGCACACTCTTTTTGTTGCCAACCCTCAAAATTTTCAAGTTTGTACTTGTATGTTGATAACATTGGAATAGTATTTTGTTTCTGTTTGGGATACGGTAGTGATGTTGACCAGTGGACCCCAACTAAAGGATTATAGGAAAATCTTCTTTTTTTTGTAGGATATTTGGAATTTCATTTATTCAAATGAAGCAGGGGAAGCCTGCCAGGAGAACGGAACTAAACTACAAAGCAGTGAAGGAAGTATAAACAGAGCTACAAACAACAAAATTCAAACAGATTTCCACTAAGCTCCCAGTTGGTGAGAAGAACCTTATTAATGTCATCATCTGCAATGTGATTAAGCCCCTTCAATTCCGCAATGCAGTTCAAGAGTTTTGAAATTGATCTTTGACTTACCACCATGAAGCCTGATATTCCTTTCTATGTCCAACTCAGATAGATGTAGGCACACCAAGCCAAACAAAGCATACCCTTGAGCAAGGATTTAGCCAACTGGTCTTGGAAAAATATTGCTATGTATTATTATTAAAGAAAATTAAATAGTGCTTTGAGATTGTAAGGCCATGTCATTTTGGGGGTTCCATGCCACAACAGCTCTGCAAATTGCCGGTTGGCCCTTTCAGTGGGGTGACCAGAGTCAAAGAACATATATTCACTAGCCTTTTCACATAATTGATACTCTTTTATCTGCCTCTTCCCCCCACAGCTTGATTGTCCTCTGTATGGACCACTGCCACAGCATGCCATATTCCCCACCTTGAAACCTTCACAAAAATAAACCTCAAAATGTAACTTAAAAATATAGTGTTCCTTTTTTTTCTTACAACGAAGTATTATAGTCATGAGACTTACCATATTTTGAAGGGTTGTTTATTCTTTCACTTGAAGAAGTATAGAAATTATGATTTGCGAATTTGAATCCTTCTAATTGGTTCTCCAGCTTCTGGAGGGCTATGGAAAGTGCTTTATTGTGCAGATGTGCTAGTGTTGTTACTTTTTCGAGGCAAGAACTAGTGTTTCTTGCCACAAGCAGTTTCATGCCTGGTATACATCCCAATGGCCCCAAGCTCAGAAACCCAAATTTCCTTCCTCCTTTCTTATATATTTCCTGACACATTTTAAGTAAATGCAGATTATGAGCAACTGATATAAGAGAGAAAAACAAAGGGTAGAATCATATTTCTATATTTAAATATGATTACTTTGATTGAAGCAGTAATGTTGCCAATCACCATTGCAACATATTCTTCTTTGGAGTAGGATTGAAGCATGCTTGAGTTTTGAACAATAGAGACAAAGTAATCGTTGCTTCCTATGCTAATTATATATAGGGCTCTACCCAGCAATCTCTTGGCTTCTGCATCACCTAATTCTTGTCGCAACAATTTCTCAATATTCTTGAAATAACTTACTTGAGTATTTAGGTCTATAACCTGGATTAACCCAAAAGGAAAAAAAGAAAAAAAGTAGGAAGGGAAAGAAAATGAAAAAGTAAACAGTGGTTAGAATTAGAAATGCTACCGTTAAAGCTGCATCTAGCAGATCTCGGTTTAAATCTCTGTACATGCAATTCTTTTCTCTATCCTGCGAACTTTTTTATAAAAATAAAAATAAAAAAAATAGAAGAGAAAAAGTCATAGCAATATACTTTTCATTCTAAATGCTAGAATATAACTATAATTACTATGTATGGCTATGTTTGTGTCATCTAAAGTGACTTCAATCAATAAATAAGCTAATGAAAAAACATCACATACAAATCCTTGATGAGTTTCAACCAGAGCACCAGCTCCTGCAGAAGCAAAGTTCACCCCATCCATAAATTTATTGTTACCAGGTTGTAAGTATGGTGGGATTAAAGGTAACCCTGCATACTCCGCTGCAACATAATTTTGAGAATCAGAAGAGTTTTTATTTGTTTATTATTTTTATTGAAGTTGCTATAACAAAGAGAAAAACAATTGAAGTGCTTTACCAATGAAATCTGGAATAAGACGCCCATCAGAAAATCGTCCAGTGGGGTACTTAAAGAAGGTTTCTCCATATGGCCAAAAGTTTGCCTGATAATTAACAGTGGTGTTGATATAGTTGTTGTTTCCAGCATCAAAAAGTGAGTCACCAAAGATGAACAAAGCAACATGGTTTTCTGGCAGATTGTAGCAGCTGATTAAGCTGAGAAAGGTTGTATAGCAAAGCAAGGAACAGATATGGGTCCTTAAACTTGCCATGTGAAAACCGAACACTGGTTTGCTTTATGTTATGCATTTCCCTTATAGTTCAATGTCACATACTTGTAGGGTTCTTTTTTTATTTTTCTTTGTTGACTGTGCTGCAGAAACAGATATAAAATACAGTCTGGATTGTGGGTTGCGTTGGCTTGGAGACGTTGGTCCACGACTCGACCTAATATCAGAATAATAAAACAGATATTCCAATCAGTAAGCCTTCGTAGTGCCCAAGGAAAACGTGGATAGAGTTTACCAAGATTTTATTTAAACTTGGGCAACCAGGTTCATTGCATATATAACTACTTGGCCTTTATATTATCTGATAAGATTCAAATGAATGTTTATTGGACTGCAATTTTTGAATTTTTTTATATTTGCTGGTTAGTAGTTTTTAATTTGATCAGTTAAATACATATTTGGTCCCTAAATTTTAAAATTTTTGTCATATTAGTATTTTAATTTTTTTTTATCACATTAGTATTTTAATTTTGAAATCTATTATCACGTTAGTACTTTTGTATAATGTCGTTAGTCAATTTTGCTAACGTGACATTAACATTTAACATTATACTGATATGCGTAAAAAAAAGTTCAATCAATATTATAACATCATTATTACATTAGCACAAAAAAATTCAAAAAAAAATTTAAAAAGCTCTAAAAAATTAAAAATTTAAAAAAGTTTTAAAGAACTTAAAAAGATTTTTAAAAAGTTTATTAAAATTTTTAAAACTTGAAAAAAATTTAAAAATTTCAAAATATCAAAACAATTCTAAACATTTTTTAAAAAATCTAAAACATTTTAAAATTTTTTAACATTTATAAAAAAAATTTTAATTTTAAAATATTAAGAATATTAAAAATTTTTAAAAAATTCTAAAAGTTTTTTGAAAATTCTAAAAATTTTTAAAATTTCAAAAAATTTGAAAAATTCAAAAATTTTTTTAAAAGATAAAAAAAATTCAAAACAATTATAAAAATATTTAAAAATTTTGATAAAATTTTTAAAATATGTGTGAAAAAGTTATCGTTTACATCTGTTTAAAACTTTTGATGCTGTTAAGAGGTAAAAATGTAAAATTGTTATTTTTGTTCTATTTTAACAATTTGCATAGCTTCAATACATGGTATTAAACTTATCAGAATAATTAAACTTAGTACAGTTGATATGGGTGAAAAAGCTAACATTTACGTTTATTTAGGACTTTTTATGTCGTTAAAAGGTAAATTGCAAAATTAATAATATTATTCTATTTTAATAGTTTGGATAGTTTTAATACATGATATTAAACTTGTCCGAATTATTGAACTTGATTTCTACGGTTGATATGTATAAAAAAATTATCGTTTACGTCTATTTAGGACTATTTTTGTTGTTAAAAAGGCAAAAATACACATTTGCTGTTATTATTTTATTTTAACAGTTTAGATGGCTTTAATACATGATATTAAATTTTTTCAAATAGTTTATGTGAAAAAGTTACTGTTTACCTTTGTTTAAGATTTTTCGTGCCATTAAAAGGTAAAAATATAAAATTGTTATTATTGTTCTGTTTTAACAGTTTGCATAGCTTCAATACGTGATATTAAACTTTTTCGAATGATTGAACTTGATTTTCACAGTTGATATATATGAAAAAGTTTTTGTTTACCTCTGTTTAAAATTTTTTTTGCTGTTAAAAGGCAAAAATACAAAGTTGCTATTATTGTTCTGTTTTAACAGTTTGGATAGTTTCAATACATGATATTTAACTTGTTCAAATGATTGAATTTGGTTTCCATGATTAATATGTGTGAAAGGCTAAAATGTTTTAATTGTTTACGTTTGTTTAAGACTTTTGTATTGTTAAAAGGCAAAAATATAATTTTACAGTTATATTTCTATTTTAACAATTTAGATAGATTAAATATATGATATTAAACTTATTTAAATTTTTGAACTTGATTGACATGTTTAATATGCATGAATAAGTTGCAGTTGATATGTATTTAATAATAACATATGTTCTTATATAGAAGTTTGAGATGAGTGAAAAAATTGGATGTGTGAAACTTTTTCGATTAACTTACACAAAAAAGACGAATCTTACTTGAATGTTGAAACATAAAAAATTGTGGTAATTTGTTACATTTGTTTTATACAAAAAGTAAATATTTACTATTTAAAACATATTATGAATTAATCATTAAGTTTGATATTTTATCTGATTAATTTACATGAGAAAGCGAAAAAAAAATGGTTGCTGAGATTGAAGTAGCATATGATGGTTCTGTCAAAATGCAAGAATTGAAAAATCATACTTTCACAGAAGTTGCTAGAAAAGAAAGACATGGACAGGTTCGAGGCCTTGAATTAGGTTTAACACCATCTAGCTACTATGTACGTAGCTCTCAGCAATTTACATTCTCAGCAAGTCAATCTTCACAAGACATTTTTATATTGAGAGAGGAGTTGCAAATTATGCAACAACGTTTCCAGCAAATGGAAGCAGAAAGAGAACATGAGTGTGCTAAAATTGAAGAAGAATGTGCAAAAATGAACCAAGAACATGCAAAATTTTAGCAATTGCATAATCAATTTGATATTCTTATGAATTTTATGCAACAATAATTTTCAGGAACTAATCTAAATGTTCTATCAACTCAGGTATTATATTTAGTAACTATTTATATTTTTTAATATAAAAATAGCTTATTATTAAGTGTTAAAATTTGTATAATATTATTCAGTAGGTTATTGAGCACACTAGTGACAAATGTGAAAAAAATCCTTCATCAAATGGTAGTTTTTCAAATTTATGTAGTCATTAATTTCATATATTTAAAATTTTTTTGTTAATGTACTAAAATAATTTGAATGTTATTGCATGTATTAATAAACTTTGTGTTACATGCATATTTGAATAAAATTATGTATTTATAATATTCAGTTTATGAATTTAAGTTCATTTTTATTTCTTTTAATATTTTTATTTAATGATAATAATAAATATTAAAAGAAATTTTTTTAAAAAAGTAAATTTCTTAATTTCACTGCGTTTGTATTAAAAAATACCACTAAATATTAAATTAACAGCATTTTTTTTATATAAACATCACTAAATTAACGACGATTGTGCTTACAAATGTAGTTAAATTAACTACATTTCTTATAAACGATGTTATTTTTCCCAATAATAGTATAGCTAACGCTCTTAGTGGCGTTTTTGACAAACGCTTTAAATCTTTTAGTGATGTGTATAAACACCGCTAAACGTTAAAAAAAATGTTATTAAAAACATAAACTCCTGTGGTGTATATACACAAATTTTCAAGTTTGAAAGTTCATTTCAAGATCCAAATTTTTCAATAAAACATCAAACAATTATATTTTCACATGAGGAACTTTAAGTTGAGGAACTTTAAGTTTGCCGATTTCACCTAAGACTTGGATAGTTGAATAATGTAAGAATTTAGTACAACTTTAGTATGAGCATTAATGTAGTTTCCTTTTGGTTTCATGGAAGTCTTCTTCTCCCCGCTATGGAGCCAACATGTCCTTCAGAAATGACAAGTTTTTCTTGACTACCGTTTTGGCCACGATCCGTTTAAGCCAATAGCAGAACACAAAATAACAAAACGGATGATGTTTCCTCGCATGTGGACGCGGGCGTGATTTTCTTGCGAAGATCCGTCCATTTTCAGTGAAGAGTGGTTCATGGATTTTAAGTCATTTTGCCTTACAACTAATATACATACTCTGAAAAGTAGTCTTCTACAGCATTTTAAGTCATAGGATCACTTTCAATGGGAATGCGGAGGGGGTGTGGTGTAGTTTGATTCACGTAACTATTTTTAAGAAATAGTATTTAATAAATTTAAGATTTAAATTTTTGCACTTATAATTTATTTTTTTTATATATTAAGTTACAAACTTTTACGTATCAAAAAATGTTCTTGTGTATATAAAACAGGATTTGAAATATCTGAACTTGGAAGTGCATGTAGAAGCATGGGTTTTAAACTTTAAAATGTTTGGCTCACAACCTGATCTTTATGTTCAATTAATTAATTTTCCATAACAAAATGTTTAGGATAACTGACAATAATTGAGCAAATTTTTAGCTGCTGATGCAACCCGGATCCTAATAAGGTATTTATTACAGTATTTTATTTTGTTTTGTGACTAGGAATATAACCTTTCAATCCAAAGTCCTCCTAATGCCTAACAAAAAGAAAAAGATGGAAATTTACTTTGATCAATTTACTTTCTGAATTCAAGTTCATTCAACTTAAATTTCTTGATTTCCTCATATAACTTTTATACTACTTCTGGTACAGTTCACAATTTTCAAAATTTTTTTCTTGTGATTTGAGAGATTTTTGGATCTTATACCGTACATCTTTTCTAAGTGCTGATCCAAGTAAGCTTTTATGCCGAGTCTAATGAATTAATAAAAAACTATTTTCACACAACTTTTCAACAGATTTGAACCCTAAAAAATAAAGATAAAAGCACACTCTTTTTGTCGCCAACCCTCAATTTTTTTTTTGTTTGTACTTATATGTTGATAACATTGGAATAGCATTTTGCTTCTGTTTGGGATAGGGTTGTGATGTTGACCAGCACACACCAACTAAAGGATTATAGGAAAATCTTCTTTTTCTCGTTGGATATTTGGAATTTCATTTATTCAAATGAAGCAGGGGAAGCCTGCTAGAAGAACGGAACTAAACTACAAAGCAGTGAAGAAATTATAAACAGAGCTACAAACAACAAAATTCAAACAGATTTCCACTAAGCTCCCAGTTGGTGAGAAGAACCTTATTAATGTCATCAGCTGCAATGTGATTAAGCCCCTTCAATTCCGCAATGCAGTTCAAGAGTTCTGAAATTGATCTTTGACTTACCACCAAGAAGCCTGATATTCCTTTCTATGTCCAACTCAGATAGATGTAGGCGCACCAAGCCAAGCAAAGCATACCCTCGAGCAAGGATTTAGCCAACTGGTCTTGGAAAAATATTGCTATGTTTTATTATTAAAGAAGATTAAATAGTGCTTTGAGATTGTAAGGCCATGTCATTTTGGGAGTTCCACGCCACAACAGCTCTGCAAATTGCCGGTTGGCCCTTTCAGTGGGGTGACCAGAGTCAAAGAACAAATATTCACTAGCCTTTTCACATAATTGATACTCTTTTATCTGCCTCTTCCCCCCACAGCTTGATTGTCCTCTGTATGGACCACTGCCACAGCATGCCATATTCCCCACCTTGAAACCTTCACAAAAATAAACCTCAAAATGTAACT